AGACATAGGTCTATTCAGGTGCTATATCAAAAGAACTCTGCTCAGTGGGATTAATTCACCAATTTTTCGAGGAACAACCTACTTAAGACTGCCTAAATCCAGTACACCTTCGTTCCTTGAAGAAGAAGAATCTTCCCTTGATAGTGGTGATGTTTGTTTCGTGAAGCTTGAAAGGGCCTCAGAGCACGACAACAGTTTTGTCAAGTTTCTTCTTTGGTTTTCCATCGCTGTTGGGGTGCTTGAAGTCCTCTGTATATGTCTAATTTGGTGTTCTTTGATTAGACCCACAAAGGACTCTGATGCAAATCAACAAGTCTACAATTTTCTGTCTCCTTTTCGTTCAGAAAATTTACTTACCCTGAGCTAAAACAAGCAACCAAGGGTTCAGAGAAGAAATTGGAAGAGGAGCAGGTGGAATAGTGTACAAAGGAGTACTGTCAGATCAACGAGTCGCTGCAATAAAGAAGCTGACTGGTAACAATGTTGGAGGCAAGCAAGAAGAAGGAGAATTTATGGCTGAAGTAAGCATAATCGGTAGGCTCAACCATATGAACTTGATTGAAATGTGGGGGTATTGTGCTGAGGGAAAGCACAGGCTATTGGTGTACGAGTACATGGAAAATGGTTCTTTAGCAGATAATCTCAAATCAAACACCCTGGATTGGACCAAAAGATACAACATTGCTCTGGGAACAGCAAGAGTACTAGCATACCTACACGAAGAATGCTTGGAGTGGATTCTGCATTGTGACATAAAGCCCCAGAATATCCTTCTGGATTCAAATTACCAGCCCAAGGTAGCAGATTTCGGCTTATCTAAGCTCAGAAATCGGAATGACCAAAACAGTCAAAGCTTCTCAATGATAAGAGGAACGAGGGGATATATGGCGCCAGAGTGGGTTTTCAATCTGCCAATAACATCGAAGGTGGATGTGTATAGTTATGGGATCGTTGTATTGGAGATGATGACAGGAAGGAGTTCCATGACGATGGGAGTTCATAGTGATGATGGAGAAGAGGCTCAGAATGTGAGGCTTGTGACGTGGGTGAGAGAGAAGAAGAAGACGACGACGTCAGAGGAAGGGTCGTCTTCATTGTGTTGGGTGGAGCAAATAATTGATCCAGCAATTGGATCAGAGTACGAGGCTGAGAAGAGGAAGATGGAAACTTTGGCAAGTGTAGCTTTGAAGTGCGTCATGGAAGACAAAGAGGCAAGGCCCACAATGAGCCAAGTTGTAGAAATGCTTCAGAGCCATGAAGACAATGCTTCTTAGTCATGACAGCTTAGTAGAATCTTTACGTACCGTCTCTTTGACGATGTTGTCTCTCTTCTTATCAGTTCTCTTTGGGGATAAAAGGACATGATTTACTTCGCAGAAACATTTGTGGGCAATCATGCGAAATCCAATTTATTGATAAAGTGACTTTCTTAAACTAGGGGTAACGAATTTGACCAAATGTATGTCTCTGGATTATGTATTGCTGTATTAGTTGAGTGGTGTGTTAAAATGATAAGTCTCACATTATTCATATAAAATCTTGAGTGCTAGTTTATAAATCTTATTTAAATAAAGGTTTAAATTTAAAAAATAATAAAGTGTACGACTTATTTATCACTTATCATATGTTTAGTGCTGTGTATGACATCTTTCTCGAGTAATTACGTCATCAACGTCAACTCATGAGATCACTCCTGAGTCCTGATCCCGCAAAGGTAAAAGGCTTAATTTAATTAATTCCCAAGCTATGGCCACAAATCATAAAAATATAACCACTCCACCTTAAATTATAAATTTTTTTTTAAATTGACTTTCTTAAATATAAAATATGTTTGATAAAAATAATATTTTTTTAATAATATTTTTTTAATAATATTTTTTTATATATTCTTCTTTTTCAATATTCTTTTATTAAAGTATTAAATGAATAACATTTTTAAAAGTTTATATTTTTATCTTAAAAAAATAAGATTATAAAAGTGTATTTAATGAACTATATTGATATGTGAAATTTTATCCAAAAACCTCACTCATAGTCAATTGAATCTCCCTCCCGCATCTTCTTGCCCTATAACCCCTAACATCTATTGCATTTAGAGTCGTAAATAAGGGCCGAGCTTGAATGGTCAGGCTTAGAGGCCATATTTAAATAAAAATTTGGACTTAAGAAATTGATTGTTTTTTGAAAATTGAAACTTCTAGGTCTAGCCCTAATAAACTTTGAAAAAAAAAGACTTAGGCTTAGACGGACCTCCAAACCCTATTCTTCAAAAAATTGATAATTTTTTAAGTATTGTGTTGTTAAAATATTTGATGTTGATTCTTTTATCATTTATTTTAATACAATAGTAACAGATTTTTTATTAATTTCTTAAACACGATTACTTTATAACGTTTATTTCTTAATTTTAATTAATGTTATACTCTAAGCTATTTTTACTCCTTGGCATTTATATCCTTGGAGCTCCTTTATATGGGGGTGGAAAAATACGGGCCCAAACACGCCAGCCTTTGAGCTTTTGGGCAATCCTCTTGTGCTCTGTTGTGTTCTTGAGTTAATTTCCTGCTTATTTGTTCGTTCGTTAATCCTGTGAAACACGACTCAGACTTGAGATTGCAACCTACTGCCAACATGCATAACCGGATACAGGGAAATTTTTAGGTAGACACGATGTATCATGTAATATCTGCTCTTTCCAATAAGAATGTAGCAGTTCATATGATTATAATCCCATGTGGTATGTTTTAATTTATATTATTAAAAAAAGTATCCGGCCGTCTCAGCGGTCCCCTTAATCCTTCATTCATTGGCTATGGCGTCCTCCATACTCCCCAGTCCCCACTCTTTTGGCTTTTGCCGAGCAGTCTGGCCTCAATCCCAATGAAGTCACAGAATGAATCGTGGGGGACATTCGTTTAATTTCGAAATTCATAAAATTGTCTCCTATTTTCTGTGCTGCCCGAAATATTATGGAATCAAAGAATGAGTAATCTTGTTAATCGAAACTCTGACAGGCCACTGCGCTATCATAGTTTCAAACAAACTGAAGGGATCGAAAAAGAAGGGGTAAAGCAGAGCCACGGCTGTGTAAAAATCATCTAATCTTGTCTGAATCAATCCAATTCAAAATAATCCAATCTTATTTGTTCTATATAAACACTGATCTTTTAAGAATAAAAAGACTAAAAAAATTACATTATTTATTCAAGTTGAACTGAACAGGAGATTGAGCATCTAGACCACTTAATTCAATCCGATCCTATTAATTTATTTAATATAATTATAATTAATTCATTTTTTATAAATGCTTTAAGTATAGTTGATGCTAAAGAAATGATTGTGTGAAAATTTGTTGAGCTTGTTTTTAAATTGTTGTTGTAATATAGTATTGTAGAAATTTGTTGAATATTATTTTTATTGAAATTATAAATTTAAATCATTTGAACTATAATAAAAATATTTTTTGGTTAGAAATTATTATGAATTTATTATTACTACAAGTATTTTTATTTTTTTAATTGAGTTTATTAAGTTGGAATAAATTATTGTCTTTCATAGAAGAAAAAAGAAAAAAAAGTTAAATAAGTATTGAATTAACAGGACCAGTCTCTCAATCCTATAAACCAAGTCTTATTCTTTTAATCTTCGAGTTATTACTGAATAAAACCAAACTATAAATTGCCTAACCAATTTTTTTTATAAAAAAATTAAACTTTAAATTAAATTAAAATTCAGTGTCGTTTAGTCTTTTTGTGCAGTCCTAGCTCCTAAGCAGAGCAATGCAATTTTTTTTCCCCAGACACTTCTCAACTATGGGGGATGGGTTTGGATCTGCGGATTCTGCGCCGGATTATTGCTCGGATTCGGCCATAGGTACTTTTTTAATAATATAAATATAAATTAAAGCATGCCACATAGGATTGTTATGATCTGAGTTGTTACTTTTTCAAAAGGCGGAATAAATATGACATGGTACCTAAGAATTCCTCATATAATAGTGCGCGCGCGCGCGCGTGTCACCTCAATGATAGTGATATGATGTCCAGAGATTTAAATATAAATCATCTCAATTTCTACGGTAATGTTTTAGGGACAGGTCACCGAACAGTTAAAAGGACTAGTTTAGAATTTAATGATTTGATCATGATTAAATTAAATTTATGTTAATCATTTGTATTGAAAAATAAAGAAACATTTAGATTAATTAGCTTTAATAATACTTCATGTATTATTTTTTTTCGGTAAAACTTTAATAATAAAATAATGATACTTAGCATTTACTATTTGTCTATTTGAAATTTTTTAAGCTAACCCTCAGTCCTATTACCTATTCACCTGTTACCCGTGTAGCTTGTTTTTCTCCTAACTAGATTTGTCCAATTCACAAAAATTGAAAATTCATCTTCGGTCCAACACCTTGTTTATAGTGCACCTGAGTCTTCTCTTAATTGTACTGGCTTTTGCCTAACACTATATTAGTTGGTTCGGTTTGATTGAATCAATATTCTTTTTTAAAAAAAATATATATTACTTTTCCTAAAAAAATTATTATAAATAATTCTTAGTTAATATTAATTATTAATCTAGATTGATTCATGAACCAACATAGAATTATGGCCTTTAAATAAAGGATTTTATTATTTAAAAAATACAACTTCACTGTATAAATATCCTTTATAATCATTCCTTTCTAATAATATCAACTACTAAAATTCATTGTCTTGGTTTTAAGTACAACCATAGATAATGATAGAGTCACCTTATAAAAATTATTGTTATCTTAGTGTCACGCCCTAAAATATAGGAATGACCAGTATGAAATGTACACTTAAACACCCATCCCTTAAACTCTCGATTAAGGAAAGTTCTGAATTAATATATTTGACTTACTATCCGCCTAATTGTATGCATCAGATTTTACTTTTCAAATAATCAAAATATCAAACTTTTTGTAAAAATTTGGACAATACCTCCCTTATAAGTAAGATCTCTCCAAAATCTTTACAACAAAAATTTTAAAATTTATAACTAGCAATACGAAGCTCTGCTTCTCAGCAACAGATAGATAATATAATAAAGAGAATCAGGCCCTTAACTATAATCTATGTGGAGCAACTAATCATATTTTTCATGACATAATTCATAAATTCATATTTACATCAGTAGAAAATATTTACAGAACAAATCTCCACTAAGCTCAGTAGAAATTCCCTCATTGAAAAAGCAGGACGTATAGTATTAGCTACATTATCTGAGACCAGAATAACTTTTTTAGTAAATAATGTCCCAACCATAATATTTTATAGAATCACAATGAATAAAATACAATAATTATATACATGAAAAAGCAATTTAATGTAAGCAAATTTGTTAACTTAGAATAAAAGTTTTATATAACTTCCATAGCAAAAAAATTTAAATCAATAACGACAAAATAGCTTTAACATTTGATCTTGACAAATCAAAATATTAAATAATAAATAAGAATTGCAATGTTTACTAATTTAAAATCATTAAATATGAAAATATGAAATCACCAACTAACTAAAAATTCATATTTTTTGGGATTTATTAGCACAAATCACAAACGTGGACACATAGTCCATGAGGATAAATAACCAAACGCGACTTATGCCACAAATACAAACGTGGATACAGTTCACAAATGTAAGTAACCAAATATAGCCTAAGCTACGAAACAAACGTGAACACACAGTGCACGAGGGTAATGCTAACCAAACGCAGATTGAAGCCATGAAAACAAACGCAGGTACGAGGTCCCATGAATAACAAACGTGAAAATAAAACTCACAAAAATTAAACTAGCTAGTGGTTGACCATAGCGTTAGCAATCAGTGTTCTATATAAAATTTCCTCCAAATCTATTTTCAAACATGTGAGAAAGTCATCACTATTAAAATACAGTTTCCATTCTCAAAATCAAGTTCGCATGAAAAATTTTGAACATTCAAATCTTGCCAGAATAAAATTTCATAACTGCTATCCATGCTTACATTTATTAAGAAACCAAAACTTCCAAAGCTAATAAAAATAATTTCATTAATTTTGAGAGCAACCTTTGTAAGGAAAAACACATACATGTCATAATTCAAATTTCCTTCAACATCTCTTTATAATTTTCTAAGATAAAAATAATTTAATTAACAAAATATTAAATATATAATATAATCATCATAGAATGATCTGTGTAAAAAAAATTCTTGAAAAAAAAATATTAATAAATCAGTTAAGACGTTATTCACTTATCTGTCGAATTTCCAAAACCTAAATATCTACTTCATTTCAACTTTTACCAAGATCCTCTTTCTCCATACCTTCTCAATGAATGAACATATAAATAAAAACTTTAATTAATTCCTACAAATTATATAAATTTCTTTCCACTATTAATGCCACTCCAATCAACTACAACTAGTGAAAATTCCAAAACACTAAAATTCATATCTTAAAGTTTCATCAAGCATCATCATTATATCGCCAAATTCTTTCATCTTACTTTAGACATGAAAATTATTTAAGTGAGATGTGATTCTCTCTCAAACCTTTTTAACAAATGTTGATGTGCATTAGTTTCCAATCTATTCAAATGTAACTCCCTAAATGATATTATAATTTATAATTTATCCATCATATAACTTTCAAGAATCCATAATTTAGATAATCTCCCCATAACTTATTAATAGGTTCTTTCACCATATCTAGCTTACTTTCACAAATGAGAATTAACCAAGCTAGTTCAAGCTTCTTTCGAGATTAATAAAGTTGCATGAACATGATCATTCAAGGAAAGCAAATCTTCACCAAGTCCTTAACAAGTTAAACTTTCCACGTTCCTATGCTCTCTTTTAAATGCCAAACAGCATAAAAAAAGTGAAATTTTATAAAATACATAACCAGGTAATATTCTTCCTAACAAACATTTTAACAACATCTTAGGTGCATTGGTTTACAACCATTCACTCAAACTCCCTTGCCTTCAAATTTTACTCCATAATTCCCAAACACCAATATTTAGATTTATCATACCCTTTTCAATCAAATCCCCCATCAAGAATTTATTTAAACTCAAACCCACTCTATCATTATCTTGTTCATTATACTAAATTTTCAACCTGATTCAATTTCCTCTCCCAACTCAGACACACGTACAGCAACATTATAGGTAACGAAAGAAAAAAATTTCAATCTCAACCAGTTAACCATACACACACAAAATTGAGGAAGAGGAGGATTTGAAGTTCCTCACCTCAAGTCCACCATGATAAGGTAGGAGAAAAATTCAAAGCTTCCTTAAAAACAGAACAATGTTGTGGACAAAGGCAGAGAAAGAGGCTCGATGCACGTTCAAGGTCAATCAGAACCAAGGCGACACGCACACACAAAAAAAAAAAAAAAAAATGGGGGAGGGAACTGAGTGATGCTGCACGAACAAGAAAGAGGGATGCCCAGAAATGTCCGCTGCGTTCTCACGGACAAGAAGCTCCAATAATGACGCACGCACAATAGCAGATAAGCAAGGAAAGAAAATCGCATTCTCCAGCCATCAAACACATACAGCAACAATAAAACACACATAGAGGGACAACAAAGGAGAAGAGACTTCAAGATCCTTACCTCAACTATGGTAGAAACGAGATGGAGAAGGTTCTGGCGTACTAACAGGGAGGAGAAAGAAGACTCTGCACCACCGAACAAGGGAAGGACTGAACGTTGAGCACAGAAGAAAGAAAGAGAAGAAGAAGAGGAATGTCCACGGCATAAAGGGCAAGAGAAACTCACGCCCCAAGTGACAAACGGACCTTCGGCGCTTAACCATAGCAGCGATGAGCTGACGGCAGAGAAGACAAAGAAGAACGGCTGCAACACGAACAGAGGAGGAAGAACGGAGGATTTGCAAGCTCCCAACGCCCATAATAGTGGTGGACAACACACCTAAATCCACCGACAACGGACGATCAGAGGAGGAAGAAATTTCTGGAAGCACTCTCTCTCTCTCTCTCTCTCTCTCTCTCGTTGCAGCCGACGAAAAGGAGGAGGAATGGGGAAAAAATCTGGTGTAATATTTTTATTTGAAACACGAGGGGCATCATGGTAATTTCGCAAAACTGAAACCAAACTATAAATCCTTCATTTTGATTCAGCAAAAATCGAACCCAGGATTTGATACATTAAGCTCCTATTTGGTACAAAGAATTGAAAGAACGGGATTGGAATTGGGATTGGGATTGAGTAATCCCATGTTTTTATGTTTGATAGGAGGGATTGAAAAATTTAATACCAAGCCAAATCCCATTCAAGTAGGATTATCCAGTAACACCTCTCACTTGATATTGAAAAATCAATCTTGAAATTGATTTTTTTCTGACTAAATTACCCCGTTCTCTCACTCTCCTCTCTCTCTCTCTCTCTGGCCTCATCGTCCCCTACCCTCTCATCTCTCCCCCCTATCCTCTCACCATCTTGTCCCTCCCTCGCCCTCACGTCGCTCTCCCCTAACCAAATAACCTCCCTTGCACTTACCACATCTAACGGATTAGGGCTCAAGTTCAAGTCTATCCATTTGTCTTCCTCCTTTTTCCTTCTCTTCAGATCTAGATGTAGATTGTGTCTTTGCCTTTTTTGGGTCACAAGCAGTGTGGCAGAAGCAAGGGCAGATGAAAATGGAGCCACCCTCCCTGACGAAGATGGAGACGGAGGGAGTTTGAGTATTGGCTCAATTTGTTCATGCTCCTCACCCCTTGAAATTGTTTGCAGATTTTACTAAATTTGTAATCTGCGCTTCATAAATTTCTAGGTGATGGTTATTTGTTTGTTTACAACTTTTTCAACAAAGTAAAGCACGTTGTAGCTAATGGAAGGAATAATGGTTTGGGGATGGCTGGAAGATTTGAGTGGAAGAAAGAAGATGAGGGCATTTGTGTCTTTGTTGTAATTTTTTTGTTTCAATCCCAAACTCATTTTTTTAATCCCTCGGTGTACCAAACAACATTTTAAAATTTATTCACACTCCCAATCCCATTCTCAATCCCATTCCCAATCTCATTCCCAATCCTTCAAAATGTGATACCTCATACCAAACAGGGCCTAAATTATCAATACAACTCCTACTAGATCAACAATCCTTCTAGTGAAAATATTTCTAAAATTAATACAAATACAATTAAAGCACACTATTATATAATTTAATTTTACTTAAATTTTTTGAGTTATCACACTTAGCTTGAGTTTTAAAAGTACAATCCATACTTAAAAATCTTTGTCGTTTTCAAAAGGAAATTCTCTATCAACTCAATTTATACTTGAAAATTAAGCTTCAAGAAAAGTGCTGCTCATGTCTTGACATAGCGTATAATTTATTTTTTTTTCCCCATCTCTAATTCCTTTATACTTCAAAGAGCGATTCCCACCAACAAAAATGATGAATTATAATTGATTTGGTCTTGGAATGATGGAATTACAAATAAGCTCTGTATAGTTCAAATATAATTTAGATGACTTAATTTAATATTAAAAAATTTATAAATTTTACAAATTAATCATTTAAATATACTCTAAATAGTTCAGATTTAATATTAAGATTTTTTATATTTTTATTTTAATAAATATAATATTAAAATATTTAAAAATTAATTTAAATAAACGACATTAATTAAAAAGGTTGAAATAGAGGATCAAGATTGCTTCAGATCCTAATGAGCATTTGGTACTTATCACTATGATGAGTGCCGAATGCAAACACAAGTCAAGTGAGAGTTGGACACAAAGTTTGCAAAGAGAGAAAGATAATTAGATCTAAAATTTTAGATTTAGGATATTGGGATGTGTGAAGTTGACAATGAGATTATGAAAATTTGAAATAATAGACGGTGAGGGAGGATTGAAATTTTAAAATAATTGAAATATTATGAAGGTTATTTTTTATTAAAACTTTTATTTCAAACTATTTAATTCTTATTTTTTTAGTGGAATTATTTATTTTTTTTTTAAGATTGTCACTAAAACCAAAATAATTTTAACTGTTATATATTCAATTTGTTTTTAAATTTTTTTAGCAAGTCAAGTTGGCATATGTGGTAGATTTCTCATTATTATTTAAACAGGCAGCTGAAATTCAAATTTTAACTTACACGTGTATAAAACTTAGTTCATACGATTCTATCCATTACTTACATGTGAAACAAATTAAATTTTGCTATGGATAGAACATATCATTTGTGGCTCACAAACCAAAAAAAAAAAATTAATAGTAAATTTATTCCCACTAACGTTGAGTCCTGTGTCCGCCACTAATTCTAATTACCAAATATAAATGAGAAGGTCATTTACACAAAAATTTAAGTCTATAAATACAATGGATAAAATGAGAAAAAAATTCTTATAACTATTAAGTTACTTATATTTTGAATCAAGATTAATTAAAAAAATATTTATATTTTGAACTAGAGGAAGTACACTTTAAAACATTTAAAATACCTTATACTCTATCAATCCTTATTATAAAATACCTTTAACTATCTCACCAAAATTAAAGAAAGGTCATTAAGTCATTAACTTTATATGCAAATATAATAAGCCTTTAATTTTATCCCTAATTAATTGAATTTTTTTAAATTTACATTATATTTTTTCTAATAGTTACTTAATTTAAATAAGAGTAACATTGTAAAATGGGTTGACTCTCATGTTATCTCATGTTACTTTAAACTAATTTACATTTTTAACGAGTTAGTTAATTACATTTAAAACTATGCATTTTTTGACATTTATCCTTATTTAATAAAATGCTTCAATTATAAAACCTTATTAATTGAGCAGAGATTCAATGACTGTACTTAATACAAGTATTAAATATCTGTATCATCTAAACTATTAAAATCTAGATCGATGATTAAGATAAATTCATTCATTTATTAATCTTAAGTGGAGTATAAATTTATAACTATTGATCTAGATTTTAATGATTTAAATTGTATAAACATTCAATATTTATATTAAGTACAGCCATCGAATTCAAATCCTTATTAATTACACCCTTATTTAATGTCTTTTTTTCAAAAAAAAAAACTCTATTAATTACAGCTTGAAAGTCTTCAAAATGTTTTATATTTTTTAACATGATACTTAAAAAAAAAAGCCTTATAATACATAATAGAAGAAGTATTTGGGGGACATTTATTCTCATGTCCCACACAAGCAATCTAAATCTAAATACGAAAAAAAAATTCATGAAAAAAATTGAATTTATACAAAATCATAAAATTACTCTAAATTCTCATATTCTTTAATGAAGTTGTCAATTTTGTGATTTGAGATTTTTTATACTTAGATTGCTTTACATATGAGGGTAATTTTTCCTATGTTTAGACTTTTTATTGTTTAAAAGTTTAATAATAAAAAATATTTCTTTCAGTTCTTTGACATTTTGAAATGATAATCATTTTGAAACAAAACTAAAACTTCAACGTAAGAAGTACATGCCCATATATCTTCCAAAAATAAATTGAAGATAACATTAGAAACAATTGAAAAATCAGATAATTAACGTTACCTTCTTTTAAAGAAAATAACTTAACGAGAACAAAAAAGCAAAATCAAATAGGAGAACCAGCTTATATTTCAGCCCTACCCATAACAAGTAAATAAAGTGCAGAAATTGATTCTTTGACTTATTGACTCTGAAGAGGCATCGCCTTTATGGCTCTGAAGCATCTCAACAACTCAGCTCATGGTGGACCTCGCATGTCTGTCTTCTTCAACACATTTCAAAGCCACTTTCACCAAAGTCTCCATCTTACGCTTCTGACCATCCTCCAACTCCGATCCAATGGCTGGATCTATTATCTGCTCCACCCAAAACCACAATGACGACTCTTCCTCCGACGTCATTCTCTTCCTCTTTTCCCTCACCCATGTCACAAGCCTCTTATTTTGTGCCTCTTCTCCTGCCTCACTCTGAATTCCCATAGTTTTCGACCTCCTTCCTGTAATCATCTCTAACACAACAATCCCATAGCTATACGCAACCATCTTTGATGTTATTGGCAAATTGAACACCCACTAAGGTGCATATATCCTCTCGTTCCTCTAATCATTGAGAAGCTTTGAGTGTTCTGGTCATTTCGATTTTGAAGTTTCGATTAGCCAAAATCTGCCACCTTTGGTTGTTAATTTGAAACCAGGAGAATGTTATGGGGTTTTATGTCGCAATGCGAAATCCATTCCAAGCATTCTTCGTGTAAGTAAGCTAGTACCCTTGCTGTTCCAAGTGCGATGTTATATCTTTTGATCCAATCCAGAGTGTTCGATTTGAGGTTTGCAGCTAAAGAACCATTATCCATGTACTCGTACACCAATAGCCTGTGCTTTCCCTCGGCACAATACCCCCACATTTTGATCAAGTTCATGTGTTAAGCCTACTGATTGCGCTCACTTCAGCTAGGAATTCTCCTCCTTGTTTGGCACCAATATTGTCATTCTTCAGCTTCTTTTTTGCTGCGATCCCTTGACCAGGTAATTCTCCTCTGTGTACTATTCCACCTGCTCCTCTTACAATTTCTTCTGTGAACCCTTTCGTTGCTTGTTTTAGCTCAGAGTAAGAAAATTTTCTGAACCCAAAAGGAGAAGGAAAACTGTAGCCTTGTTGATTTCCACTTCTAACCAAAGAACACCAAATTATAGAAATAAGGAGGACTTCAAACACCCCATTTGCGACTGAAAACCAAAGGAAGAGCTTCATAAATCTGTTGATGTGTCTCTTGGCATAGGCTCTTTCAAGCTTCACCAGACAAATATGGCTATTTTGGGCAAATTCCTCTTCTTCATGGAACGAATCACTGTTGCTTTGGGTCTTAGGTAGTCTCAAGTCGGTTATTCCTCTGAAGTACATATGGTGAATGACGACCGTTGAGCAGAAGTCTTTTTGTATAGCACTGGAAAAAGCCGTCCGGGTGAAATGAGCACTGAAACGCCTTGCACTTGCAGTCTTGTAAGCATTTGTCTTCACAGTCACTATAA